TCATCTTTGCTGAAATTAATAATTATTCTTATCTGATTACAGTAGCTACTACATTATATAATTAATTTTCACATTTTTAAAATGACAAGAACACAAGAAATGTTTGCAGAAATACTGTCAAATTGGAACAAATTACGATGTATTTTATCTATTTGTTTTCTGACAAAGATTTTTTGCGAAGTAATATCAGGTTTTTAGCAGTTTCTCAATAATGTAAATATGGTATGTGATAAAAATGTGTTCAATTTGATGTTAGAACTTGTTATTGAATCGTAGAAAAAGGCTACAATGATTATTTTGAGACAAAAATAGCCAAAATTTATTGCATATATTTAGTCAGCGTCGCATCCTTCCTGATCAATATTATTATGAGGAAGATAAACACGTATCAATGTGAAAATTATCTGTCAAAATTGTTTACAGAATTTCATAGAACGCAGTTGATGGAAGAAGCACGATGAAAATTTGATTATGTTGTACAGAAGGTATTGTACTGATAAAATCTCAATTTACATAATCGTAAAAAGAAATCTGAAGATGATATAAATATATGGAGATAACGAACAGTTTACAAACTCAAAAGTCCATGCAATAATGCAAAATTGTAGCACAGCAAACATGGACCTCCGAAGCATCAGTGACGGGATCAGATGCCATGGAGGAGCGAACATCCCCTGTGGACCGGTCACGCCCGCCTTGTGCTCCTTGTCATGATCAGATAATAAGGAAAAACCCGTCGATAATACGGTGTGTAAAAAATGTCCAAAAATATGCATGAGAAACGTCAGTCAGCATTAGCTTAATGATAATTTGCATTGAATGACAAGGTCATTGTATTGATTGATTGATTGTATTTTGTTGAACGTCCCATTTGAGATTTTTTTTACTCATATAGAGATGTCACCGTATGCTGGTAACACGGGACCGACGTTTTTAAGATCATATCATAAAGACCCGTGAATATCACTTCCAGTGCTGAGCGCTCGGCGAAGGAACAGCTAACTACTTATGTTTACGTCTTAGGTATGACGTGGCACCTGGAACAAGAATCGAACCCGGGCCTCCCGATTACGAGTCACTGTATTGATCATAAAACTTACAAAATTATTGATTTCAACGAGACTTCTGATATTCTTGTTTCTGAACTTGTTTGTCAATTATTAACTTCGTTTTAAATCCTGCTTTTGTCCATCGAATAAACTGCGAGACATAATCCCTGTATACAGGTGATGAAGGTATAATTGCTGCAAAGTAAAGAAAGTCGACGATAGATAAAATCAGCATGTTCCTCATCAAGCTTGATTGTTAGATTACCATTAACGTTTTTTTTGGGTGAAATATCCAAATATGAAACACGTTTGTCATACTCTTTTGTATATTTGATTTCAAGCTCACCGGAATATATCGTGTCGACATCATATAATGGAAATAACCATTTTAAATTAATAATTTGTCGTCCATAGATCGAAATGTCGGGATAAAGCTTAATGCCACAGGAAATATTTTCTTCTTTTCAATTGTAAGATTTCGAAGAAATCCTGCTTCATATCAATAAAAAAATAGATCTGCAAATAACGGGATGCAACTGGTACATGTACACGGGAATTCCAATAGATTGTTGGAAGAGCTGGTCTCCAAAAACACAGAGATATTGTCAATCAAAAACTTTAGTATCTTTTTAATATCACCTATACAGAGTGCTTGTGCAAACAATCAAAATGCTTTTAACAAATAATTTTGCAAATGACCAATTAAAAGGTAAGTAAATTTACTAATTCCATTTTTATTGATTAGGCATCTATCAAAAAATTGCTAAAGGTTATTTATCTTAAAAAATTCTGTCACAGTTAACTGTATTACAGATTTTTTGTGCTTCTTTAAAAAAGTACTTTATTGTTTTGCTATTGTTTGAGACCTATGACTAATGTGATATCAAAGAAGAGATTTTCAAAGGACTAATGGGTAAACTAATCGAAATATGAAATATTTTAACAAGAGGCCCACGGGCCTTATAGGTCACCTGAGTATTATGTAACAACTTTCAAACAATTATATTTGGTTCGTGTTTTAAACCGGAGGCCATGAAATTCACAATTTACAATTTTGAAAGAGGCACCATTGCTTATCATAATTATTAACTTAGCATGCTTACTCTATTTACTTAATACCCAGAGGTAGATCAGAGTAACAAAGAGAAAATGCACTTCTAATTTATAACCAGCTGTGCACCTCACCCACTGACCCATGGGCCACATATTTCAAAATTTGCAAATGCAATCATAAAATGTTTGATTAATAGCAAAGGGCAGATTTCAAAGCATTAATTTATTTTCAGACTATGTAAACCCCCCCCCCCCCCTTTGACCCTGGGGGGCATAAAAAACCACTTTGCTAGATGCACCTTTCTTCATCATAAATATATATATACTTGGATCATTGGCATAAAACCCAGAAGCAAAGGAAAATATTTTCAAGGAAATAATGTATTTTTACTAATTAATCAATAGAGCCCCGCCCTAACACCAGAATCCCTAATCCTGGGGCCATAAAATTAACAAATCTGGAAGAGGCACTCTTGCTTATCATAACTATGTGCTTAGTTAGTTTATTTAATACCCAGAGCAGAGAAGAAGATTTTCAAAGAATAAATGCATTTTCACTATATAATCAATAGAGCCCCGCCCTTACACCAGAACCCCTGACCCTGGGGCCATAAAATTCACAATTTTTGGAAGAGGCACTCTTGCTTATCATAACTATGTGCTTAGTTAGTTTATTTAATACCCAGAAGCAGAGAAGAAGATTTTCAAAGAATAAATGCATTTTCACTATATAATCAAAAGAGCCCTGCCCTACTACCAGAACCCTGACCCTGGGGCCATAAAATTCACAAATCTGGAAGTTTCTGGGGCCATGAATTTCACAATTTTGGTAGAGGACTCAATGCCCATTACATTCATGCCAACAGTTTGCCTGCTTGATGTCCAGGAGTAAAGAAGAAGATTTTTAAAGATTTCATTTATTTTAGTGATTTTGGCCCCACCCCTCAGGCCCCAGAGGGGTGGGGACCATGTAATTCAGAATTTTTGTTCCCCTTTACCCATAGATGCTGTATACCAAATTTGGTTGAAATTGGTTCAGAGGTTTTAGAGAAGAAGCTGAAAATGTTGAAATGTAACACACGACACACGACGCACGACGGACGACGGACGACGACGGACGAAAACGGATAGCAATAGGTCACCTGAGTTACTCAGGTGACCTAAAAACAACTATGTAGTTGTAAAAACTAAAGTAATGCATTTCGCATACATTTACTTCTAAAGTTATGCAAATGTATAAGATTCTCACGGGGGAAAATAATTCAAATTTAACACATAATTTCAAATTGTTAACGAAAAAGATCATCTGTTCAAGTGTTTTGGCTATTTTGAAGAAAAGCAAAGGTTATAAGATGTGAAACAGATAATGGAATAAATCCTTGCATTGGGGTTTCAATTTAAAAAAGAAGGAAATTATAAAACGTGCCAAAATGAGCTATTTCCCCACAGGACATATTTTTTTCTCTTCACCTAAAGAATATCATAAGTAAAGGTTCTTGTTGCATCAAGTTTACTTTTGATAATTACCATTCGAAACATCACAGCATGGGTTTATTTTTATTCTTGTGTTAATATACTAGTATTTGTAACAAGGCTGTAAGCTAACATTCCCCAGGTTATTTTTAAATATTTGAAACAAACGTAATGGGATTTTGTCCTAAACAGCAATGAATGCTTAGTATTTTAATCTTTTATCATTAAAAATATTTTCTACTAAAGATTTATTTATTAGATATTTTTGTTTCTTTTTCATTTTAGACATTTTTCAGAAACAAGGATCAGTCAGTGTATTTAGTTGTTACAAAATGAATGAAAGATATAGTTGTGAATTGTTGGGATGCTTTCTCATATTATCATCCTATATTCAAATAACCGTACCTAGTAGCGTTTGTAACAAGTGAGTTATGTTTTATTTCTCCTTTATTATTCATTTGAATCAATCGTTTTTTAAATACTTCAGTTAATTATGTATTTTTAATCAATTGTGTAGTATAACAGCATTGTGTTGTCTTACATCTTACAGAGAACCACTTGAATGCTGCGTTAATTACAGAAGAGTTAATAAAAATAAATGTGAAGGTAAAAAAATTGTTAATATAACTTACATGTATATTTAAAAACAGCTCTGAAATCTTGCTTAAATGTACATGTACAGTACAATTAACATAAAACAGATACATGTATTATATTTCATTTAAAAACATGACAAAATAGCATAGTTGTTCTACTGTCGATATATAAATAATGTTTTGCTGAAAACATTTTGCATTTAAAAAATTAATGTTTCCATATTTCCCTTCATTTATACCAAAGAATGCTGGCCTGGAACATTTGGTGTCAACTGTAATCGTACTTGTCCTAATGGATTTTATGGGAGATTTTGCGTAAAGAAATGTAACTGTTCATCGTGTGACAGGGTATCAGGATGTAGACGGAATATAAGTTCATCGGGTACGTCTAGATCTCGTACTTCAGAATCAGAAAACATTAAGATATTTCTATTCTTTCTGCAACCCTTTTCTGTCATAATATGAACATATTAAGTCTGTCTTAGATTGCATAGAAAATATAAATGAAAAATTTTTTCCAACTCATTAATTCCGACTCATTAAACGGGTTTAATGGGGGGTAATCTTATAAAAAGTAATGCCCATGTAACCTTTTTCAAGTATTTAAATCCTTGATTAGATGGTTTTTATGTCTTTTAAAGTAAATTAAATTACAGATGCTAGATTTACAACCAAAACAAACATTTGTATTAAAGCTTGTACAACTTAAGAATGCTTTCATATGCTTGAATTTAGAGTAATGAATTAATATTGATATATACAACATTAGGCTAGATAAGAAATCATATTATGTTATGTCATGTTGCATAGTTTATGAAACCACTCTGCCAGAATCATCCCAGTCATCAGAACTTGCCGTTACCGAGGACGCAGACTGGCTTAGTGTTGCTATGTTTGTTTCCGGCAGTGCTGGTCTTTGTTTCGTAATTGGTTTTGTAGCCCACAACAAACTTAGGTAAAGTATAAATTAATTGACTTAACTTGCCATAAGACACCATTTGAATGTATACGTAGAATTAAAGCCACCTTTATCTCAGTTTACTGAGATGACGTCTTTGACTAGAAGGACAAGCAGTTTCAACTGTATCATTGATGATTAAAATAAAAAAATTAAAAAAAACTCTAAGAGATGACATATTTTAGAATGTATTTATCAATATCTTATAGCATACTAAACTGAAAACAATAACCCTTGTACGAGTATGAGGCCACACAGTAACACATGTACATACTAGAATGACAGGCTATGTCCCTCAAAAAATCTAAAAAGTTTACAAATGTTCGCTTCACTATAGATTATGAGTTTTTAAAAAAATTCTTATTTTAACAAAAATTCTTATTTTAATTAAGAGCTTCTTTATCTTAAATAGGAAACATGTATGCGAAAGCGATGGAATTCACACCAGAATGATGGTAAAAGTCATTATCTTTATCTAAAAAAAGATCACCATAAGAGATGTATTTTTTCTTCCTTAAACACATAACTATAAAAAGCATACTTCAAATAGATGCGGATATTTCTTAATTAATTTTGTAGACGATCCAAAATCAGTTGGACAACCACAATTAAATCCAAGTGCATGAACCACGCCATTTGGGGAATATATAGAATATATAAAAAACTTTCTGATTTCTAACGAACTCCATTTTCCCTCCAAATGCAATAATAAGACAGAAGCACTTAGGTCTGACAAATATTTTCCAGACAAGGGTGCCTTTAAAGCCTGTAATTATGGAACGCCGTCACTGCCTTATAGCAGAACACAACAATTGCATTGCGTCATCCTTCCATTACATTATGTCAACACTTTATGACATTTACTCACACTGCTATTGCATTGTGTCAACCTTCCATTACATTATGTCAACTCTTTCTGATATTTACTCACACTCCTATTGTATTGTGTCAACCTTTCATTACATTATGTCAACTCTTTATGATATAAACCCACAAAACTATTGCATTGTGTCAATCTTTCATTACATTATGTCAACTCTTTATGACATTAACCCACAATACTATTGCATTATGTCAACCTTCCATTATATTATGTCAACTCTTTATGACATTAGTCCACACTACTATTGCATTGTGTCAATCTTTCATTACATTATGTCAACTCTTTATGACATTTACACACTCTACTATTGCAATATGTCAACCTTCCATTATATCATGTCAACTCTTTATGACATTAGTCCACACTACTATTGCATTGTGTCAATCTTTCATTACATTATGTCAACTCTTTATGACATTTACACACACTACTATTGCGTTATGTCAACTTTCCATTACATTATGTTTAGTCTTTATGGCATTAACTCGCACTTTAATTACATTGCGCCAATCTTCCATTGCATTATATATTTTTTTTTCTTTATGACATTAAGTCAAAACAATTTTACGTGGTGTAAAGATGTTTTTATATATTTTCAACTCATTATTACATTATGTATACTCTCTACTATTTGGTCTAAGTAGTTCATTACATGATGTGAATTTATCTTTAATTCAATATCAAGTCGATATAACACGATGTCAGAATTTCATTACATGATCTGAACAAATTGTCACACGTGGCCAATTCTTTACTACATTGTGTCATCAATATGCTACAGGACGACGGGAATCTATTACACGATGTCATTTTTCCCTAACTTTTTGACGAATCATTATGTTATGCCATTGTATCTTTACATTGTGTCTAAAATGGTTAGCCTCTTGTCAGTATATCTTAGAATATTTCAACTCTTTATTGTGTGACGTAAGGTTTAGGTTATGCCTAAAAGTTCGTTTTGTGTTTTCAATATAACATGCACATATGTTAAACATGCAAATAATTTAAATTAAATATATCAAATATTAAATTATACACAAGACCTAGTAATTCTTTAATTAAATATCAGGTTAAAATTTATAAATATGATCATGTTCCCGTGGAATCTTTATTGAAGATTGTTTTATTTTTAACGTCGAAATTCAATGGCCGTTTAATCTCATAATTATCGCAAATCAAATAGTATGTGTAATGCAGCAATTTTTTTCATTTTATTTTGAAAAGTCCGGAACTTCTGATCTAACTACAAAACACTGTCCTAAGCTTTTTATCAGTCTTTAACCCTCCTTTCTTTTAAAGTGTAAACACACCGTATTTCATACGTGCACTGGTGGGTGGGTGGGGAGAGGGGGGTCCCTCCCTCTCATCTTTAGTGACCAAAATATGCATGAAATTAATCAATTGGTTTTACTTTGTAGGACATTGCATTAGTTTCACAAAAAGTATAACTGAAATAAGTTGAAACGTGTTACATTAAAAAAAACTCACTAAAGCCTGAGAGTTTCCAGGCTTTCACCCCCTGGTCCCCAACTTAGACACCATACTGTCCCTCTATAGCTACTCTTTTCAAGAACCAATGAGGGACTGGTAGAATTTTGTAACAGAATTCTGGACCTGGAATGGTTGAAAAATGACTAGTTCCAGTGACGTTGCATCGTTTTTAAAAGTTGGGGGAGGCTTGTCAGCAGGAAAAAAATAACGTCCAAACTCAAAAATCCTGTTTTGGTGAAAGGGGGGTCCAACTTCGATCAGTCCTAAAAAAAATTCCCTTATACTTCAGCAAAAAGTGGGGCGGAATTTCAAACCCCTTCAATGAACATTTTCTATGATAAAGTTATATCGGAAAAAAAGAGGAAGCCAGACACCCCCCCTCCTTATATAATGTGTCTCTAATTCGTCCTAATTAACCAGAACACCCCCCCCCCCTTCCCCGTCGTGAAAACACGGTTATCAACTTTGACATAATGTAAATGTATTTTTCAGCACGTAATGAACATTTGAATCAACATGATAAAGAGTTAACACAATATAAAGATATTCTTAAATCATATAAGAAAGATTTGACATAACGTGATTATATATCCACATCACAGAATGGAGTTTTGACATAATGTAATCAAGTGTTGATATAATATGGAACGCCGGGACTGTCTCCATAATATATGTTCACATTATGTTATAAACCTTTTTACATCACGTAATAAAGCACTGACATAAAGGTAAGATGTTTTCACCTAACATTGTGATGACCTCGGCGTAAAATAAAGATACATTTACATCACGTAATAATGCTTTGTTATTATAGAAATATACACTCACAAAAGGGAATGAACTTTGACTTAACGTAATGGTAAATTTAATCATAGAACACATGTAAAACGAAATTAACTTGACGTAATGCAATTTTGACCTCGCATATTAAAGAAATGAAATAATATAAAGATACATTCATTTCACGTAATAAAGTTTTAACACAATGTAAACATATTTTCACTTCACATAATGAACTTTGGACTTCAAGTTATAAAGTGCTGACATAATGGAAGAATGTGTTCACTTCATGTAATGCAGCATTGGCATGATGTAAAGATATTTTTACAACACCCCACAAAAAATTGACATAACGTAAAGATATGTTCACATCACGTAATGATAGATTGACATAATGAATGCATAGTTTTATGCTATAAGGCAGTGATGGCGTTCCATATGTAATATATCAGAAGACGCCGATAATACATCTAGCCATCTTAACATGGGTGATTCCAATATTGGAATGTATTCTGCATCTTATCAGAAAGTGACATCCATAGATAACAATCCTTACAATGGGTCAGTGATTAAATGTACAAACTGAAGAAGAGTTCTTTTTATTTATTTTTTATTTTTTTTGAAAATGTATTCACAAAAGTAGATGAATATTGAGCGTCTAATGAAAGGGAAAGAACAATTCAGAAGGATGCTTTTAGTTTAGACGTTTCTCATACTGTTAAATCAAATATGCAAAAGCAAGGGGCCTCTGTGACTTCAAAAGGCCAGATGTCATTGAAGAAAAAAGACTTGTAAAAAAAAAACATATCAGTGAAATGTCCAAACTGCTGGAAAACTTGAAATCAAAAACTGAAAAACAGTCATTCAAAGGCAAGCTGATTCACCGACGAAGATCTTCAAAAACGACAACCAAGAAGTTTTTGAAATAAAGTTCGCTCCTACTACAGAAAGTTCATGAATAACTGTAAAAACAATATAAAAGGCATGTTGTCGACCAAATTATATACTTTAAACATCTAACAGAAATGTATGTATATCGACATTTCATTAACATGTAATTGTCCTTTTAAGCAGAGATGAAACTTCTGTCTGAATATTCTTTTATCAGAAATGATTGCCACAGGTACATTAATATGTTTCATAACATAACCGATGTATTTCATTTGAAGTTGACGATTGAAAATTAAAGTAATAACAATTATTATAAAGCTTGTTCGTAAGATTACCATTAATGTCTTTTTTTAAGTAAACATCAAAATATGAAACAATTAGTATAATGTAATATCCATTCTTATGTTGAAACGAGAAGAAACTTCTCTCAATCGTCAACTTCCATTATTGATGCAGCAATATTACCTTCCTCACCTGCATACGCCACTGCATGGAACGTTATTTGGCGTAATTTGTTTAAGGTGAGACAGGACACATGTCACATGTCACATGACTAAATTGACAGCGTCATAGTTACTGGAAATATAGGTGCTACATAGAAAAAGGTGTTTCTCTACGCTACAGTCTATTACGTCAGTGACGTCATATATGATCTCTCAGTGCAGTGAGATGAATAAGACGTTAATTTCCTGGTAAGACCTAGTACAATGTAAGTTTAAATTACATAGAAACAGATCACAATCAATGTATCGTGAAGTATTTTTATATGTATTTCTATTCTTCTTATCATAAATTATCATTTTTGTGTTTTCAATGATGACAAATTGGTTATGTTACTAAAAATAAATATAAAAGCAAATAAATAGATTTCAACGAAAGAATGTAACATTTGTTATTACCCTCGTATTTTGTTTCTTGTTTCTTTTTTCAATATTTATATAAATTCAGCTTGAACATATTGAAGGAAATATATGAAATACATCAGGTGGAATAGCTCTATCATTGTTCTGTACTTGTTAATTTTGTTTATTCAAGAGGGCATAACAACTATCTATCATAGAACTGTAGAGTGTAGAAACTCAATAACGTAAGAAATGTTTGGCCAAGTCATATGATTAATCAACAGTTGAAATAAAAAGGATTAAACTTTTTTGTACATGAAATTAATAACCTTTAAAGTTTTTTAAACAATTTTTTACAACTAGCCGCTGTAATTGAAGAATGTCATTTGATGTTTTTATCTACTTTCACACACTGAAATAATCAGATACATATAGAAATTCTAGGTAAGTCTCTCTTAACAATTATCATCAGGAAAAGCAACTTAATGAACGAATTTGCAAACTGAAATTCACCTTATTTATATAAAGAAATCATGAAAAAAATATACGTTTTTAAACTCCTCAATCCAAAATATAAGAAAAATGTTGGTATATAAAACTTATTTCTTCCAATTGGTTTTCATAGGAATGAAATTGAATGTTGTGTTAATTAATATCAAGAAAGCGGAATATGTAAAGGTAATCCGAGGTTAGAGAAAATATTTAGATAGATAAACAACTCCTGCTTATTCTTATTTATCAAAG